GTGGTGGGACTCCTCTCTTGCGGACCATCCTGCTTGTGAGCACTGTTTCAACCTCTTTGTCGTAAGACTTGGTTACAACGGGAGGTGCTCGATGTGAATACCCTCGGCTTGGGTCTTCCTTGTCGGTATAATATGGCTTGAGCATACTTACATGGAAGACGGGATGAGACACTTTACCCACCTTGGCAAGTTCCTAGAACAGTCCCTCGTATCTCTGTATTAGTCCTTTGTGAACGCTTCGGAGAGCTTTGAATTGTTTTGGCAAAAGCTTCACAAGGACTAGTCACCAATGGTGAACTCTCAATGTCGCCTCTTTTCGTCCGCCCACTTCTTCATCTTCTTCCTCGCTTTCTCTAAACATGCGCGGGCGATGTCGGCGTTCTCCTCCCATGACTTAGCCATCTTGGAAGCTCCGGGACTTTTTCCCTCGTCAAATGGCATTGTCAATGTGTGCGGTGTGAGCGGTTGTAGTCCGGTCGTAAGCTCGAACGGACTTCGGCCTGTGGCTTCCCTCCGCTGCAGGTTATAAGAGAATTGGGCGACGTCTAGCAACTTTACCCAATCTCGCTGGTTGGCACTCACAAAGTACCGCAAATAACACTCCAACATAGCGTTCACCCGTTCGGTTTGCCCATCAGTTTGAGGGTGAAAGCTTGTGGAGACATTTAACTCGGTGCCAAGGAGCTTGAATAATTCCGTCCATAGGCGTTCGGTGAATCGAGGGTCTCGATCACTGATGATGCTCCTTGGTAAGCCCCAATACTTCACAACGTTCTTGAAAAATGCTCGCGCGGCCTCTTCCGCAGTGCAATCCTTGGGGCATGGTATGAAAGTCCCATACTTGGAAAATCGGTATACGACGACCATGATCGAACTGTATCCCTCGAACTTGGGTAATGCACTAATGAAATCCAAAGTAATCGAATCCCAAAGTCTTTGGGGAACTGGTAAAGGTTCGAGTAATCCTGCCGACTGTCGGTTCTCCACTTTATCTTGTTGGCACACAAGACAAGTCTTCACGTAAAGCTCCACGCTATCCTTCACATGGGGCTAAAAGTATGCTGTCTCTAGCAATGCCATAGTGCACTTTTGACTCGGATGACCAGCCCACTTGGTGTCGTGGGACTCTTTGATAAGATCTCGCCTTAAGTTGTCCCACTTTGGGACATAGATTCGCCGTCCCTTGGTGTAGAGTAGACCGTCCTCTACCTAGAACCGTTGGGTTTTGCCATCGCTAGCCAGCTTTACTAATTCCCTTGTCATTGAGTCTTGCTCAAGGCCCTCCTTGATGAGATCCAACACGGTTCCCTTGGCTAGAGAGATCGTGGCAAGCTCCGTCTTTCGACTTAAGGCATCGGCTACAACGTTGGCTTTGCCCGGCTTGTATTCTAACGTGTAGTTGAACTTGGCTAGGAAGTCCTGCCACCTGGCTTGTTTTGGTGACAACTTCTTGTGAGTCTGAAAATAACTTGTCGCCACATTGTCGGTCTTGATGGTGAAGTGTGCGCCAAGTAAGTAATGCCTCCACACCCGTAAGCAATGGATGATGGATGTCATCTCCTTCTCTTGCACTGTGTACCGTCTCTCGGTGTCGTTCAGCTTGCGGCTCTCAAATGCTATCGGATGTCCCTCTTGCATTAGTACTCCCCCGATAGCGAAGTCGGATGCATCGGTATACACCTCGAACGACATGGTAAAGTCGGGTAAGGCCAAGATAAGTTCTTGGTTAACTGCTACCTTCAGGTCCTCAAAGGCCTTCTGACATTGTTCGGACCACTCCCATGCCTTTCCCTTCTTGAGTAGGTCCGTCAATGGTGATGCTCGTGCTGAATAACCCTGTATAAACCGACGATAATAGTTTACTAGACCAAGGAATAACCTTATCTCACTTACCTTGGTCGGTGGCTCCCACTCGGTTATGGCCTTGATTTTGTTCCCGTCCATTAATAGCTTCCCGTGGCCAATTATATGCCCAAGGAAGTGTACTTCCTCGGTGGCAAACGTGCACTTTTCCTTCTTTACGTATAGCTCGTTCTCTCGAAGTACTTGAACATAATCCTCAAGTGGTCTATATGCTCCTCCATGGAGTTACTATATACCACGATATCGTCCAAGTACACCACCATGAACTGGTCCAAGTACGGTTGGAAGAGCTTGTTCATAAGCGTGCAAAACGTCGCCAGTGCATTGGTTAGACCAAAGGGCATGACCAACCACTCGTACGATCTATATCGGGTGATGCATGCGGTCTTTGGCTCGTCGTCTTCCGTAATTCGAACTTGGTAGTAGCCTTTTTGCAAGTCCATCTTCGTGTACACATTGGCTCCTCCAAGTCTGTCAAATAAATCGGCAATCAAAGGAATCAGGTAGCGGTTCTTAATTATTACCTTGTTAAGTGCCCGATAATTGACACACATGCGCAACGACCCATCGTGCTTCTTTTGGAAGAGTATCGGTGTGCCATACGGTGCTTTTGAAGGTCGAATCTTTCCCATATCGATTAACTCCTCGAGTTGCCTTCGAAGTTCCTCAAGTTCGGGTGGGGCCATTCGGTATGGTGCCAGGGAAGGCGACTTGCCACCGAGTTCCAACTCGATCTTGTGATCCACCTCATGCCTTGGTGAAAGTTTATTTGGTAACTCGGGTGGCATCACGTCCTTGTTTTCCTCTAAGACTTCACGGATGATTGGTGGTAGGTCATCCATTTTCTCGATCTCGTCATCTTCCTTTAGCATGGCCAAATAAGTCATGGCCCCTTTCTTGATGCCTCTACCAAGTTGTATGGCCGAGAGTTGTTTGGCATCTCGACCTTGCTCTTTCGGTGCCTCGACCGTGGGGATCATGCAGGGAGACCCTTTCTCCAATATACAAACTGAACTAAATGAATGCATAGGGATAACGATTACCTGTCGGAGAAAATCCAACCCCAAAATAACCTTGAAGTCGTCCATGGGAACGACTGAAAAGTTCACTTGGCCCTTCCAAGTGCCTAAGCGTAGCTCGACCCCTCGTGTCACTCCATGGAGTGGTACCGCTTGTGTATTTACCGTCTTCAGCCATCTTGTGCTCCCAGTGTACTTTATGCCCAAACGGTTGGCTTCGTCTTTAGACACGAAATTGTGGGTAGCCCCCATGTCCACCATAGCTCTTGTCAGCTTCTCGTTGATCACTGCTTCCACATACATGAGCCCATTACTCGGTGTTGGTGTCAACGACTTGGCCTTCAAGGCGTTTAGAACTTGGAGCGACCCCATATCGCCTTGAGACTCTGTGTCTTGACGATCGAAGATGACAGACAATGAACCAAGTTTGGGGTAACTACTCATCGTATGCGACCCTTTACACAAAAAGCATCATCCTTTAGGAACGAAGGCCTTTTTCTTCTCTTCGTAGTCCCTTCGGCCTGGACGTCGATCTCGATCTCCCTTTTTAGCTTGTGGCCTTCGGTGATCTCGATCTCGGTTACCTTGGTTGTTCTCCCGCCATTCTCCCCCATATTTTGCTGGATACTTATCATTATTCTTCGTCGTATTGGTGTGGGAGTAGGGTTGGAAGTCGACGAGTGGCTCGACGATGGCAATGGCTTCATCAACCGTTCTAATGTCCCGACGGTGTATCTCTTGCTTGGCCCATCCTTGTAGTCCGTCAATGAAATAGAACAAGAGATAGTCTTCGGACATATTGGGGATTTGAAGCATAAGGGTTGTGAATTCTTTTACATAGTCCCACATAATACCCCACTGTTTCAACTCTCGCAATTTCTTGCGAGCCTCGTAGACCACATTCTCGGGATAAAAGTGCTTCTTGAGTTCTTTCTTGAACTCATCCCACGTATCTAACCGACAAGCCCCTCGCTCTATGTCGGCATGTTTCCTACGCCACCATAACATAGCAGTATCTGAAAGATATAAGGCAGCGGTCTTTACCTTGGCGGCCTCGTCGTTAAGGCCGATTCCCTCAAAATATTGCTCCATCCGCCATAGGTAGTTTTTGACTTCCTTGGTGTCCCTTGCCCCGTTGAACCCTTGCGGGTTGGGGCACTCAACCCTCGGGGTAGAGACGGTGATGATAACACCCCACTAACGGCAGCCCTCTTGTAGAGCGTCACGTCCTCCCGCATCCCCTCGATGCTTTCACGTAAGGCTTGGATCATATCCTCTAGCCGTACGAACCGAGCTTCAACCTCATTGTTGGTCTCTTCGGCACTCCCCTTGAGAGCGTTAACTTTCTCCAAGACACGGTCTTCCATTGTCTTGAAGTCATGCTAGACCCTCTCTAGCCTTTCACCAAACTCCGCCACCATTGGTTCTAAGGAATTTCCTTCATGGGCCTTACTTTGGTCCCTCTTCTTCTTTGGGTTGGTGGGTGCAGCTTCTCTTCCACGTTCCTCAGTAACAGTTGACTCGTTCGGGTTCCCGACCATTCCTATAAGATACATGCACGATATTGATGCCTTAACTGGCTCTGATACCAACTGTCACAGACTTAATCTCTCAATAAGCCTCGTGCGGCCTTAGCTCATTTTCGCCCCTCGCAATAGCTAAGTCAGCCTCACTCAAACTCGTGCTAGTGTGGGAAAGGATTGGCAAGGAAACAAAAGAGAAATGAAAGAACTTTGAAAGAAAGCTTGTTGATATGCTTGAAAGCTTACAACTCTTGGATGATTTACAAATGAGGATTCTACACATATTTATAGCATCCCACCTCCTCAATGAACGGTGGAGATTGACTTGATCCTACGGTAGGGAGAGATTCTCTAGAATTCTCCATAATTTCCTACCTAACCTGGAAGACTCTAGAATGCTTCTAGAATATGTACAAGTCTTGAGTGTTCTAGAATAATCTACACTATTCTATCAACCTCCAAGACCAAATGTGGCCTAACATAGCCAAAATAGCCCAAAGTGTGGGGAAAAAGCCCAAGTTCGTGACATAGTGTTCTCTTCGACAAAGACATGTTCAAGAACTGATATAGGACTCGGCTGCACTTCTCTATCACTCATGCTATCAGAAATTTCTACTCTTTGAATAAATGGAGGACTTGATTAATAAACATCTATTGAAGAAAATGATGTTTAATCTGCTGAAGGTGAATTCTAAATAAACCAAAGCAGAAGGATAGAACAAAATTTTAGCAAACAAGACAAAATATTAAACAGGAGAGCAAGAAATGAGGAAACACAGTGCATGAATGAAAGAGATAAAGAGTTGATGCACAGGTCCACTGGAAAAAGCCCTAAACATTTAAGTATAAAAAAGATTACCAGTTTTGAGTATTCGGAATATCCATCATCTCCAAAGTGGTTGACTACTTCAGTTCTTTGGGTCATGCTGGTATTCTGTACACCATTTGGTTCCAAAGCGACATCTAAAACATTACTTTCGCATTTATTGCACCTAACAACATGAATACTTTCTATGACTTTCCCAGGACATATAAAAGTTTGTTTACCTGTTCAGATAAGATAAATTATTATATATGGAACATATGATGATTGGAATTTCATTTTTAACTTCATAACCAAGAAGTACCTATGTGACCAAAATCATCACCAAGGGAATATACAGTTTGAAGCACTTTGGTGGGAGGATATAAATCACCAGAGATACTTTTATTTGCGTCTTCCGATTGGTTTTCTGGCGTCTTGTCATCAGACACTGGCTGCGCTCCAAAAGTATTAATGTGAGAACTTAAGCAGCAGCTCTTCTTTCCTTTCTGGACCCTTCACTTGTATACATTAACAGTTGAATAGTTGTTGTATGGTAAAAATCTCATTTGTGGAGATGCAAACTCATGTCCCTTATTCCTTTGTGGAATAAGTATAGGCACCGAGTCATATTCAGGCAAAGACCTTAACCTAATCAAAGTTTTCAGTGTCTCTTTCCTTGAGACATCTTTATTTCCTCCATTTGACATATCTGAAAGTTGAGATGCCTTAGAGTTAGCAGATTTGAGGTTCCATCTCTATGGATGAAGTTGATGAGTGTTTTATTTGATTAATATTTTGTTATTAAATAAAATGTGTTATCTCCTTTTATAATGCTAATTTGGGCTGTTTTGATTCGAATTTGTGCATGACTCTATTTTTCAAGAAATAACAATTAAAAGACAAATTGAACATATTTTCCTACATATTTAGTAAAAGTCGGTGCCAACTCAAATTTAAATGTCGATCCATGCACAAACTCTAATTAAATATTTCAAATTGCAAGATCAAAGGAGGAAAGCAAGGCGAACCATAATTCTTTAGGAATTTAAAAGTTGTAATTGAATTCAAATATTTGAGATTTTATTATTTTTATTAGGAACTTAGTTTGCATAGAACTTTTATGTAGGATTTTTTATATTTATTAATTAGGATTTTTAGTTTGTTAGAATTAAGAGTTTAAATATTTTAAGAGTTAATATTTTATTTTCATTAGGTTAACTCAAGACTATAAATACCCCTAGGGGTGAATGAGGGAGGTACAAATTTAGAATTCAGTATAGAACTTGTTCAGGATTTTTCTTTGTTTCAGTTTATTTCAATAAATTTATTTTTCTTCTTCATTTATACTCTTTCTACAAGCCAAACATGATTTTTACCATGCCTGACTAAAGTTTCGTTAGATGATAGATGAACGACAACTCAATCCAGTCTAGTGAGAATCGAAAAGGTACGTAACATTTTCAGATTTTTTTTTGATTTTCCTGAAAACGAGGCAATCGACCTCTCTTCAACATCTCAATATCTTCAATCCAATGAGTGTATAGATCACATTGGTTTATTCGACGTTGTGATCTACAGTTGGGAGGAGAATCTGCTTGTATCAAATTCAATTCTCTTCAACATCTCAATATCTTCAATCCAATGAGTGTATAGATCACATTGGAGGCTATTTCTCATCTTTATTATTCCTTTACAATTTTCCTTATTGTTTGCATATTAAGTTTACTTTAATTTTATTTTACTTGTGTACTTTAAAATCCCATTTCTTTTTAATTTACTTGTTTTACAGGTTTCTTGGTTCAGGATCAAAACGAATTAGAATTAGAAATTTTCAAATCCCTGTGGATCGACACCCTTCTTCTCTATATTACTTTCTTAGCATAATTATCCGAAAAAATGATTATTTATCTGACAATTATAACGCGGAGTAGCTTCAGTTCTGGTGCCTGAAACAATGTTCTCTGTTTGGCCTGTCTTGTCTCTTCTATTGACCTCGTCAAAATATTCAGGGATTTCTCCAACATTACTAGCAGAAATTCTTTCATTTGCTTGCATGCTCGTTACTTGATCACCATCTTCGAACTGTTCAAAGTCATGCAGGGATCTGCAAATATCATCTAGGAACATCTGGCGATGCTCCTCTTTATTCACCCTCATCGCGTGCCTCAACTTCCTTTTCATGTGCTCAAAAGACATGAATGTCGGTCTAACACTTATCTCCATTTTCTTCGAGCTATAGTGAGGTTGTGGTTGTCATAACCATTTTTTCGAAAAAACAATTAAATATTATTTTAAAAACGATTATGATTTTAATTTGGAAAAATTGAGTGATTTGAAATTGATTGGAATTAAATTGACTAGGAGTCACCATCTACCTTTGGGCTAGGTAAATCGAATACCTAAAAATGTCTTTTAAAAACAATTTTGAGAAAAATCATTTTTTAAGACAAAAACTGATACACGTTTACCAAAGATTCGATTAAAACGGGTTTGGGAGTCGGTTACGCGTGGGGAATGTGTAATACCCTAATTTTGTCCGGGTCATTTGAATCCATTTGAAGATGATCAAATTAATATGAAGGTGCTCGATGAAGGATTAATTCAAGTGATGAATCATGGAGGCTTGCAGTTAGAAATCTTGATGCTTAATTGGATTGTAACATGTTTGTTTCATTTTGGAATTCAAGATTTAAATTGAAGCCCAAGCTAATCCGGAATCCAAATTAAATGTTTAGTCCAAAGTCCACATACAAGTCTAAAATAGATTACAAATATCTAGCCCGGTTACAAGGCCCAAGCTTAACCCGATCCGACCCGGATACAACAACCCGACTCGGGCTTCTCATGCCTCCCACGTGAAGACCTTGTGATTCTCCACAAGAACCGAGCAGAAGCCACTGCCAACCACGAGCACACCCACCCAACAAGTTGTTACATATGTCTGTCGGCCACCCAACATGCTCAGCTCATATCATTGTGCCCAAGATACTGCTGCCCACGTGATTTTACTGCTCCACATCACCCATGCCTCTCGGTTACAGCAGCCATGTTCCCTACGTGAACTACAACCGGGAATCCACATGAAGCAATGCCACGCTCAGCCACCAAGCACAACCGAGCACACATGGACTCACTTCTCTATGATGCACGAGACCCCAGCAACCCGTGCTACCCACGTTCCACACGTGAAGACCTTGTGCCCAGGCTCCACTGAACGAGACTCCCAGAAGCTCCTGCCAGGACCATACCCGAGCAGACAAGCTCGGCTCCCCATCACCCGTGACCTACAACACGCGAAGAACGAGGGCATTCAACAGAACCAAAAACCAATAGGAAATACAACAGTCAATGTAGATTCACGGGGATATCAATTGAAAAGGAGACCATCAACAGGGGAGAAAGAGGGGAAACGGGGGGGTCTGATCCTTTCGATTCAAAAAAAGATTGGAGAATAGAGGGCTTTGTTTTTAATTTTTATTTTGAAAGCAATGTACTGGGGGTTTTCTTCACCCATTTTCGCAGAAAATACTTTGTAAACCGAGGGTTTTCCCCTTCGATTTTAGATAAATATATATTGGAAACAAAAATTAAAACGTTTTGGATCTCTTCATTTTTGAAGCAACAGAGTTCCTCTTTGTGTGTTTGCTTGTGTCATTTCGAATAAAAAACCAGATTAGAGAGAGGATCGAGTTACCTGAAGGAACACACACATCCATGGGGTCAGTTGGCTCAGACGCGTAACCGTCAGTATTGAGGGGGGATTGATTGTAACAAAAAAGAAAGATAACTAAAACAGAGGGGTTCATCAGCAGCAGAAAACAAAGGTAATAAAAGCTCTTCCCATAATTTCTACTTTCCTCGAAAATAAAGAAAAAAATATGAGATAAACGAAATCAGAATCAAGTTACAAGGTTGTTTCCTGAATCTGATTTTACAAAATTTGTGTTTCTTTCTGTTTTTCATTCGAATCAAAAGACTAAAAAAGAGGAACTCATCATCCTTCATTAAAACCCATTTCGAAAAAGTCATAAATCCATCAGCAGCTACCTTTCGGTTTTCCAAGCAAAAATACACACAAACTATAGCAAATATGAGAGAAATGTCTCACTTACCTTGCTTTACCGTGAGTCGGAGTCGTTGATCAGGACTAGAGCTGCCGGGGGTTGCGTCCTTAGGTCGACCAAGTGCTTGCATGTCAGTTTAGGGAGGTTAGAGTAACGTTTTGGGAGATTGTGATGAAAGGTGGTGGCTTTTAGGCGTTCGTTCTTCTTTTTCAAGCTTACTAGCGGTGATTTACGAGATGAGAGCTTTGAAGCTCTCGAAGGGTGGCCATAGGAGAAGAAGGAGAGAGTTGAGAGGAAGAAGAAGGCGTTGCGGCTGCTGAAAATGAAATGGGAATTAGGGTTCAATTTTACCTAATATAACATATATATTGGATTATCAAAATGACGTAGTTTGAGCAGTTTAGGGCATCCGTTTTGGGCATTTGGTTTATTCATTTTCCGAGTCATTTAGGTTTTACTTGTAACTCATTTTAGTCCTAAATTCGTTTTTTTATGTTCTAATTTGGTCTTTGTATTTTACGCAAGGTTAATCTTAGTCCCAAGTGTTAGTATATATTTACTCTTTTCTGTTTTAAACACTTGACCCTCGTGTTCTGCATGATGCATTTTAGTCCTGAGTGGTAATGTACTTAGTTTCGTTTCTTTAGACATTTGAATCTCATGTTGTTGCATGTTGCATTTTAGTTTCGGGATTCACTCCTTTTGATATTTTATTTGTTTATACATGTGATATATTTCTTTTGAAGATTACAGTTTAGTCCTGCATATATTCATGGTTTTATTCTGATTTTAGTACATGAAATATTATTATTAGTGTTCTATGACTTGATCATTGTTTAATCTATGAATTTAGCATTAAGAGTTAAGTGTTTATTCATTTAAGTTATTATGTTATTTTTTATGTTTTCATGATTACATGTAAATATTATGTGTAATTTAATTATTAATATTAATATGGTCTTTTGCATGCTTATATTTGCATATACTAAGTAATAAAGGATAACTTTGTGCCTTGCTTCATTTTATTTAATATGTCGAATAAATTAACATTGTGAATATTGGTATTTACCTTTTATTAGGATGCATATAAGTTTTAGCATTTTCATATCATTATGTGTATGATATCCTCATAAGCATGATTCCATACCATTACATAATCGGATTAAGGGTAATACTCTTTTAACTTAAAACTATCGGAATGGCTTCTCTTAACTTACCAGAGGGTCGTTTTGAAGATTTTAAATTAAAAGTGTATCCCAACAGTGTCATAAAAAATTGATTCTTCACTTTAAAATTTGGGAGTGAAAGAAAAAGAAATATTCGGCCATTTAAATTATTTGAGAAAAGATCATTAGAACTCACCTAAAGATCTGGTCTCGATATTTTTAAATAATCGAATATCCTTTATCTTTCTAATGACTTGGTAATTTTAAATTAACATATTTTGTTGCTTTTCAATATTATAAATTTGCATTTTTGTTGTTTAAAGGGATCATTAATTAAATTAAACTCGAACTTGTG